GCGTTGGTTGAACACCTGGGGATTCTGAGTGATGCTTATGCTGTTAAAGAGACTGTGAAACGCAGCTACATCATTAAATGTATTGAAGACATTAAGAAGGTGAGACACACCTTTCCCTGTCACTTCTGTTTTCATCACATACATGTAAACCTAGACACTAGTAACAAATCATTAGTTTTATGATGTGCATCCTGCTGCAACTGAGATTTTAAAACCATGTAGTTCTGGAAAACTAAATGACAGTAACTAAATGCAGAACATTGACATATGGAGAACATATGGAGGAAGGATATTATGGTATTATATTATAATATTATTCCTTTTACATTTGCTTTATTAGTATTTTTTTGGTTTATATATGTGTGTATATATATATATATGTGTGTGTATATATACATATATTTATTTATTTATTTTTAACTATTGTGAGTGCGGGCCAAAGTGGGAGGGGCCTGCACCCTTAGACTCACTCTGAATACCACCTGTACTTCTAAACATTTCTTATAAATGTCCTATTATTCAGTGTCCTCAATGAATCAGTAAGGCCTGTGTTAAACAATAGATACAGACTGGTGTTTTAGTGTCAAAAAGTTCAGATGAGACAGTTTTTATAATGTGTTGATTAATAGTAATATGGTCTGTGATAAATAATGACTAATATTTCTGTGAACAAAGAAAGTTTGCTCTCTGCTCACTGGCCCTCAGGGTGAACCAGCTGTTATGCTGTGGACCAAGTGTCTGCTGTGAAGATTGTCTGCATGTTTTTTTGTTTTGTTTTTTTGGCCCTAACTAAATAAAATATACAGTACTTTAATTTGCCTCATCCACAATAAGATGTGTGTCTCTAGACTCACACTCAGGAGGACAGTAAAGGCAGCGACACACAAAGCTCATTTCTTACTGGCACTTGGGGCAAGAAGAAATCTAGCACTTTGACCAAAGTAAGATGAAAGTCATTTCTCAATTCCATTCACCGATCTGTGTCCAATCTCACTGCTGCGCGCCTGCCAACCAACCAATCACTGAGGAGGGCTTCACAACCAAGGGTTTTCATTGGTCACACAGGTTGATAATTTCACACACACGATTGTAACATGAGGTAGAGTAACCAGGTGTGTTAACTTTCTGCTTTGGCACTGACTAATGATTTGCAGAGTGGTGTTGATTTTTGGGTGAGAGAAGAACAAGTTTTGGTGGAAGTACTAGTCTGGTTTATTAAAGGTTCTGTGTGCTGGGTTTAAGGGGATCATCATGTGAAGTTTGCTTTTTTGTTTGTTTGTTTTTTGGTCACCCCGTGGTGAATTTTATCTTATCATGGGGTACAATAACACTGATAAATAAAGTATGATTCCTAAAGACAAAAAGGAGTCAGAGAACTAGTGTTAACTGATCACACTGTGCAGTTTCAGAGATAGATACCAGTAAATCCTTCACACTGAACCTTTATGTTTAAACAACTAATCAGAATCAGGGATACACTGATTTGATTATTTGAGACAATGATTTATTTTCTTACATGTTGCCAAATTGCTAACATCCCAGACTCTGATTTTTTTTGAATATGTTATGTGCTTTTTATACTGAACTGTTGGGTCTGTGATTACTGACCAACACAAGAGATCAACTTTTGAAGTTTTTTTTGTGCCCTGTCTACATCAGATTTACCTGTGTGTTTGTGTGAATGTACGTGTGTTAACAGGCCTCACAGCAGAGCACTCCTCAGGCGGTCTGGGTCGTCCCTGCTCTCCGTCAGCTGCACGAGATCACTCGCTCTTTCATCAAGCAGACCTACCAGAAACAAGACAAGGTGAAACATTGGCCTAAAGCTGTCAGTTAAAAGCATCAGTGGGATATTTCAGTACTAACTCCTCTGTCTGAACCCTTCTCCCCCCTACAGAGCATCATTCAGGACCTGAAGAAGAACTTTGAGATTGTTAAACTCATAACAGGGTCTCTTGTGTGCTGCCACCGTCTTGCCGTCACTGCTGCAGGAAGTAATGGACTCTCAGGGTCTACCCTGGTGGATGGACGATACACCTACCAAGAGGTTTGAACGATTTTTTTCTTTTTTAATGGTCATCATTACTGTACAGCAGTGTTTCCCAAATGTTTTTGAAGCACGGCACATTTATAACATCAAGATAAACTCCACGGCACACCGCAAAATATATCACAAAAAGTAAATGTAATGAAATATAATAATATTCTGGTTTAGATTTACTAAAAATGTAATCCTGTTTAGTTGAAGACAATGCTAATATAGATATACTGGATGGAATTGAAGAAAGACACTCACAAAGATCTTCTTCAACAGCTCTGATTTTCTTTTTTCTTGATCATTTTCATCTGCTGCCAGGATTTAATTGCTCTGCTTGTCACGCATTGACGAACAAAGACAAATTATTTGCAATAAATAAATAATAGTTTTGGGACTGATTAAGTGACATTGGATAATTTTCGTTTCTAATCTTCAACACCACACTAATGTGCCACGTCATGCACATGCAGATATTTTAGATACCACCAGAGCTAAGTGATGGATCTAAACCTCATACTTACTGTTCATACTCTTTATATTTGAAGGTAACTGTATAAAAATAAACAGCACAGTATTTGATAAACACTAAAGATGTTCCACTTTCTTTTTTTAGTATCTGGACAGCCACCTGCGCTTCCTGGCCTTCTTCCTCCAGGAGGCCAGTCTCTACCTGGTCTGGAACAGAGCCAAAGAACTCTGGGAGTGTCTGGTGTCAGGGCCTGATGTCTGTGAACTGGATCGTGAGGTATAAGCTTGTCGTTTACAATTAAGTGTTTGCCTTAATGTCGGCAGGAAAAAAGTGCCAACTCTTGTAACTTTGGTTAACAAAGAACCACAGGCTGTGAAGGAGCAGTTTTGGGGTTTAGAAATTGTGTGTAGTTCCAAGTGTCTGCTTACCTAATGTTAAACTCCACACTAGTCTTAAATTAATGTGTGTAGACAATCCAAAAATGTTTGCTTTTTTATTAAGAGTGTCAAAACCATGTTTCAATGTGTGCAGATGTGTTTTGAGTGGTTCACTAAAGGACAACATGACCTGGAGAGTGATGTTCAGCAGCAACTCTTCAAGGAGAAAATCTTAAAACTGGAGCCCTATGAGATCACCATGAATGGTCAGGAACCCTGCAAGTTATTAATCAACAGACTTTTCCTACTGCTTTATAACCATTGATGCATTGTTTTTATTCTGTATTGTCTGCAGGTTTTAATCTGTTCAAGACTTTCTTTGAGAATGTTAATCTCTGTGATCATCGCCTAAAACGCCAAGGAACTCAGCTGGTCAGTCTTCACATGCATGATTCTCAACATCAGGGTCATTATGTTGACCTTAAACTTAACCTAAAATGAATGCTTTACCTTTTTACTACTCTTAATGCACAAAATATCATAACAACTTGTTAAATGTCTTGTTTAAACCTAAAATGCGGTTTCCAAAATTGTTCTGATCACATTTTGGATCTTTAGCTGCATTGTGTGATATTTTTGAAAGCCTTTGCAAAAGCCTGATTGGCCACATGTAGCTGTGGTTTGATACTTTGTTTTCTCTCTACACTACATCTCAAACCTGCCTTGTATGTTCAGTGAATTTTCTTGTCTGATTTCAGTGTGTGGAGCGCCTTGACTTAGCAGGGATGGATTTTATTTGGCGTATCGCCATGGAAACCCCTGATGAAGAAATAGCCAATGAAGCAATCCAACTCATCATCACTTACAGCTACACTAACCTCAATCCCAAAATGAAGAAGGTCAGTGTTTAAAGGCCTGCTTTTTACAGTGACATAAATAGACTGTATTATTACAGAAATACATCAAATTTAAGGGTGTGTCAAACTTCAGTAAAGTTTTAAAATGACCACAGCTACAGGCCAATATAAAGATATTCAGTAATAAGTTTTTCCATATTTTTGGTAGAATTTAAGTTGTACTTTTACACCTTTTTGGGCATTTTTCTATAATAGTATTTCCATTATTTGTTTTAGTCACAAATAAAAACACGTGAAACACTGCTGTTATTTGTCCTTCTGATCCAGCTACAGAATTTGTTTTTCTTTTCAAATATACGAATGACAATTTTCTTTTGATTAATCATGATGAATAACAGTTGTGATAAATCCGCAGCTGCCCAGTGATTGATCCGATCAAAATTTGAATCAGTTGACAAATTAACAGGGTTCCTCCTACTTCAGCTTGAAATGACTTGTAATTTTTCCACTGCAGGATTCAGTATCTTTGCACAAGAAGTTCATTGCAGATTGTTACAAGAGACTTGAGGTGAGCAGTAAAATAGTTCACAGAAAATTTCTGAAAATCAAAATGGTGAAAAACAAATAACACTTTTATCTTTACAGGCAGCCAGTTCAGCCCTCGGTGGGCCAACTCTGACCCACGCAGTTACTAGAGCAACTAAGATGCTGACGGCCACTGCCATGCCGACAGTGGCCACATCTGTACAATCACCATCCAGGTACAGAGGGGGGTTTGGGTAAGAGCATGGTTATTAGATCTCATTAAACGTGTGTCTTTGTGTCGTGTCATTTTTGTAAGTACAAGTCTAAATCTACGATTTAATTCCAGTTTTGTATTTTCATCTCCAGGTCTACTAAGCTGGTAATAATTGAAAGACTGCTGCTATTGGCTGAACGCTACGTCATCACTATAGAGGTAAAGCACGCACTGTTCTCTCACAGGGTCGCTTTATTTGACAGAGCTTGTGTTTTTGTCAATATGATAATTTGTGGTGCCTTATCTCAGAACATCTATGGAGATCACAGAAAAATAAACAGTTTTTTGTGGGTTTTTTTTTTTTTTGTTGTTTTTCTAGGACATGTACTCAGTTCCTCGTACTATTCTACCTCATGGAGCTTCTTTTAATGGACACCCCGTTACTCTTCACATCACCTATGAGTCAACCAAAGACACTTTTACCATAGAGGTATAGTTTTTAGTCTGTTAAACCCAAGACCTGTACAGTCACATCCTTTAACTTTGTGTGTGTGTGTGTGTGTGTATCCTGCAGACCCACAGTAATGAGACAATAGGAAGTATCCGGTGGAAGATAGCAGAGCACTTAAGCTGTCCAGTGGATAATGTCCAGATCTTTGCCAATGACAGTGTGGTGAGTCTTCATTCATCTAAATGTGCTAACAATATTGTCTGTTTTTTTATTATTTTGTTAATTATATTTTATCTCCTTCCCTCATCAAAGTATTTTCCTCCTCTCGATCATGTGTTTCCCCTGAACCCAGCACATAACAACAAAATACAAATCACTGCACAGCTAATTATTTTGTGTAGCAGGGGAAACACAGTCTTCAACTACCTTCATCCCTGTTTTTGTTTTTTTCTTTCACTCCATCCCTCCACTCTCTATTAGTTGACCATGAATCGTGACCAGAAGCTGCTGTCGCAGCTCGGCTTCAGTGATGAGCAGAGTCTGACTGTGAAAAGCTCAGGAACTGGAACGCCTTCTGGCAGCTCAGAATCTTCTGCCTCAGCCTCAAGCAGCTCCAGCTCGGCTGTCTTCAACTCAGCCTATGCCTTGGAACAGGTAACATCCCAGACATGGGCTACTTCAGTTATGTGGAGACACTCAGATGTTAACATTGGCTTTATGCACCCTTATCATACTTTGTGTGTCTGCAGGAAAAGGCCCTCCCTGGTGTGGTGATGGCTTTGGTGTGTAATGTCTTTGAGATGCTGTACCAGTTGGCCAATCTTGATGAAACCAGGTGAGAATGACAGATTGAGGTTTGTTTTTGAAGACTTTGCTATTTCAGTATTAAGTTCAGTTTAAGACCTGAGTGTATGTTTTTTTGTTTGTTTGTTTTTTACTTTAGGATTACACTTCGTGTAAGGAAGCTGCTTTTGCTCATCCCGACTGACCCAGAAGTGCAGGATGCCCTAGACAACTTTGTTCCTAAGGAATCGAGTGTCTGGAGCCACCAGGTATCTCAGGTGTTCTGTTGGGATTTTATGTCTAAATAATTCTTCCAGCTGATGAATCTCTGGTTTTCTACTGTTTTCAGAAGACTCTGTTCACCCTCGGAGTGGGAACAGGCTCACGCTCTCCATCAATGACTTCCAAACAACAGCACCAGCCCAGTGCTGCATCCATTTTAGAGTCTCTCTTTAGGTCCTCAGCACCTGGCATGTCCACCTTCAGAGTGCTCTACAATTTAGAGGTATGTCCACAAGTAGACATGCTGTTAACCAACCACATACAGAAATGGAATCTGTACTTGAACAGCTACCTTTTGTGTCTGATAGGTGCTGAGCTCGAAGCTCATGCCCACATCTGATGATGAGATGGCCAAAACCAGTAGCAAGTCTTTCTGTGAGAATTTCCTAAAAGCTGGGGGACTGAGGTAACGTTGCCATGGGAGCTATCAGCCTTGACACGCTAAAATGTTTAATAGATTTATAATAACTTTCAGAGGAACTGTACAACTTTTAAAAAACATTAAGTGGGTGTGTATATTCTGTATAATCCTCTTTTTGTAGCCTTTTTAAAGGTATTTTTAACAAATGTAGACCAGGGGCTAATTTTAACTGACATTAAAGGTTTTTCCAGCCATTGTCACTTGGAGGCACTTTATTAATAGGTTTAACTTTTAGTGCTATCCATAGAAGCTGCCCTGGTAGGGTCACAATTGAGGCCAGGTGCCCTCTCTTAAAAAATGTCACGCAGCTTGGTTGTACTGCAGAGCAAGTATGGCCATCAAGAGCAGCAACAGCAGCACCGCAGACTATAATCCAAATGTTTTCTTCCCCCTTCATGCCTTCTGCAGTTTATTGTTGCTAAGAATGACATGCTGCTTTTCTACGTTTGATTTAAATACTTAAAAGGCTGCAGAAAAGGAGCGTATAGTAAATGTGTATGCTAACCTTTTGTATAGTAAAGAAGATGATATTAAACATAGCTGTTAAATTAATGCATTTCCTGTTTCTGTGATTTTATGTTTCTAATGGTGTCACTGGTGTTCCGGTCTTTCCTCTGTAGTCTGGTCGTAAATGTGATGCAGAGGGATTCAATCCCATCAGAGGTTGACTATGAGACCAGACAAGGAGTCTACTCTATCTGTCTTCAGTTAGCCAGGTTCATATTTCCTTATTAATACACACTTCAGCTTTTTTTAAGTGTATTTCACAGGGACGACTCTGATAATTAATGGGTTCCATTTGCAGGTTCCTTCTGGTTGGTCAGAGCATGCCTGCAACACTCGACGATGATGTCATCAGAGACGGTGATGCCCTGTCGTCCCGTCCGTTTCGTAACGCAAGTAGAAGTGGTCGGCAGCTATCTCTTTGTGGAACTCCAGAAAAGTCCTCATACAGACAGATGTCTCTGT